GATTGTATGGATACATAGTTCGAAATCTAACTACAAACAAGAGTTATATTTATTGGTAGTTGATTCCAGTAACGAGTTTCTACATTTACCAAACAGTAAAAGCAAACACAACTCAATTAATAGCTAATATTTTTGGAGAATCTTTTGATTTTGCCATCTCAATGATGGCATCATTTCCATCCTTGATGTTCTCGTCGTCATCCTCGTTCCAAACCTTTTCTTCTTCAAAATTCCCATAAAAATAGCTGATAATGATGTAGTAGAAGACATTTCCCACACTAAGCATTGTAAGAATCCACCAATAATAATCATAATGTCCCTTGTTCAAATTGGTCGAAACCCAACTTTCTTTCCCTCCCTTTTTCGAATAATTATCCACAATTTTAACTATTAAGCTTGCAATCAAGTTAGCAATGGCCATTCCCAGTGCGAAAAGTGCCACTGCAATACTAGCCATGTTCTTGGGGAACTGCGAATAATAGTACTCGATTTGGCCGATTGCGTTGAACGCCTCGGCCAATCCACTCAAGCAATACTGTGGAACTATCCACATTGCAGTCATGTTCACCACTGATTTTGGAAGTTCTGCTAATCCTTCTTCAAGGGCCCTTGTGCGACGCTTTTTTTCAACCAATGCCGAAACGGTTGTGGAGAGACAAGAAATCAATAATCCGATTCCTATACGGTATTTGACAGGAATCCCACGGGGATCTTTGGTGTACTTTGTTATGTAAGGGACAAGGATTCGATCATATATGGCTACCCATAGTGTTAAAGTAAGGATTCCAAACAGGCTGAAGGAGCCAGCAGGGATGCTAAACTTTCCAATGAAGTGTCTGTTCAATGTGTTTGCTTGGAGTACTGGAAACGCGTGTTGGCTAATGGTGATAGCAATTACAATGCCGGTCGACCACATGGGGAGTACTTTGATCAGTGATTTGAGCTGTTCTACTTGCTGGATTGTGCATAGACTCCATGGATCTGAAGCTGAACCATCAGGGTTTAATTCTTTCTGCGGATTTTGGATAATGCAGGCTTTGTTTAGGAACCTAAGAACACATAAGAAAGTGGATCTCAGAGCTTTATTTGTGCTCCGCAATGTTAGACAATAGTACTATTCATTTACAAGTTCAAGATTTGCCAAGAAAGTAGAGAAACCGCTTATGCACATGGATCCACACCCTCTGAAGCAGCAATGAATTCAAATTGTATGTTGAGAGGTTTCTCGATAATGATAGATGGGAAAGACGTGTTAGTAGAACTTGTAGCACGTACTAGATGTCCATGTCTATAATATCACATTACGGATGGATGAGCTATCGAGGTATCATGTTGGGATTGACTGTCATAAAAAGAATGTGACGTCTGAACCCCTCAAACGTAATGCGTATTTTTGGTTGGGATTGACTGCCATGAAAAGAAAGTGGCGTTTGAATCCTCAAACATATCGAGTATTTTTGGCTTTGCGGAAATAAAGGTCTTGCCCTCTATTGCTATAAGTACAGCCATGAAGACTTGCTAAATTGTTGAACAAGGGTTGCATGACTTATTTGGATTCTGTAATAGAGGTACTAAAGAGAGATCTCTTCACATTTTGAATTTCTAATGGTGACAGCGTATGAATGTTGCCCCTTACTAATTTCTATCGCGTCTTTCAGAATTTGAACTAAGACTTTTGCCTAAGAAATTGAAGTATAATCTTGGTACCCTAGAAAGGTTAAAACTAATACTTCAATAACTATATAAACTAACCTTAATCTTTGTGTTGGAGCAACAAGTTTTGAATCATTGCCACGATAGTAGCATCCATCAGAATCCTTTAACGGGAAATCAACGTGTTTATTCTTCCGAGCCGCTGCCATAACTTGAGCAAAACCAGTAAATAAACTCTTGGTTGGCTTTTCCTTAATGTAAAGATTTGTACCGAAGAAAAAAACAATGGCAGACACCAACATGAGGCCAACCGGTACTCCGAACCCGATGACCCAACCGTATTCGTTTTGAATATAAACTATTACTGTGAGTGAAATCATGAATGAGAGCCCAACAGAAGCAAAATACCAACCAAAAAAGCTCTGCATAATCCTTTCGTTGTTTGGGTTTTCTGGGTTTTCGAATTGGTCAGCTCCAAATGCTAAAGAACATGGCCTAATTCCACCAGCTCCAATGGACATCAGCACAAATGATGTGAAAAGAAGTGCAATCTGGCCTGCATTTGGTTTGATACAAGTTTCTTTATATGGATC